AGTGCTGCTTTGTGCAGTGATCTCTGTACCACTTGTGGGCTCAGGTAGCTTTGATTTGTGACCACAGTGTCTGGGCAGGCAGGGTCAGCACTCCTCAGTACTGTTGGGTGGTGCAGTACTGGCACCCAAAAACTAAGTGGGCAGGCCTGCAACTACAGGGCATGTACTGTGAGGTGACTGAGGTTTCCTACAGTGCCCTGCGCCAGGCTGTGCTCAACTTTGTTCACCAGTCTCTTTTTCTGTTGGGGCACTTAAAGGAAGTAATATCATGTAGAAACAACAACGATCATATTTCGTAAAGCAGAGACACAAGTCCTATGAAAAAGCTGGAATTGGAATTTAAATTCACGTAGGAAAGACAACCGATCTTTCCTTAGTATCACTTCTATCATGTGCCTATCACTAAACCAAACACAAAAGTCGTCATTGCCTTTATATGCCACCTCTGTGGCATCTTTAACATTTTAATGATTTTGTGTTCTCTTTTCAGTCTTAAATCAGTCATTACTGTGCTGTTGTAAGTAATTTTGGGGTTAATACTTTATGCATGCTTGCCACTGGGAGACTTTGGGATGCAGCACTGAACCCAGCACTGCTTTCTGCTCTGCCTTGCAAACCCAAACTCCCCTGAGGTGCAGGGCTCATTTAATTTGGAAAAAGAGTGACCTGACATTGTAACAGCAAGGATGCAGATGGCTTCCCCTGGTAACTCAGCAGTTGTAGGACCAAGTCTTCTGCTTCAGCAACTAGGACCAGATCTGCTAGTTGAGGCTGTTGTACAACAGACACATCATATCATCTGGAAAGGGATAAGGCATCACCCAGCCTTAAGTGGCCTCAGAGCAACTATGAAGAGCTTTAGTTTGGTGCCCCAAAGTGAAATAAAGACTTGAGGAATGAGAGGATGAGCCTTTCTTTTCTCCAGGCTGAGCAGAGATGATGGGGGAAAAAAAAAATAAATTGCTACTGCCCTGAAACAATCAATGAAAACAGGATGTCAGGGGAAAATTCTAAAACTAACCTGCAATCAGGTAAATTTTGCTATTGTTGTCTGTACCTGACTCTCACGAGAACGGGAAGAAGGATGTTACAGAAATTATTTTGAATTAGATTGTTTGATGTCTGCATCATGGGAGTTACAGGTGGCCACGGGAGGGGAGTGCAAAGCTAACAAGGAAACTAAAGTGACTTTTTCTTTTAAATAGCAGCTAATGTATGCATTTTTTTTTGTAATCAGGGCAGATGAAAATCTATAGAAAATGATCTGCATTGAGAAAGTGAACAAGAGAAACAATATCTTCATGAATCTGAAAGACATGGGGAAGCCTATTAGCCTGCCTCTGACATTGTTAAGCCTTTTTCTATTACATTTCTTTGTGTAATAGCTGCTCTTTTTGAACACAGTGGCATTTTTCATCTAATCTGATGATGATTCAAGGCATTTATGCATTCTACTTATAATATGAACCACTGCTCTTTCACCACAGGGTTCACATTTAAGATTAGACTGCAGAGATTTTCACTGCTGCTCTGGTTGAAGGTCATTCCGTTTAGGAAATGGAGAGGGCAGTTGCCAAAAGGTAATCTCCTCTCATTTTAGCTGGCAGTTGGCTGTCAGGTTCAAATCACAGCATTAAAAGCCACAGCTACAGCCATGCCTAGCTAAAAGCAAGAAATGGCTGGGACACACTGCAACTGTTCTGCAGGAAATTCAAATCTCAGCTTTTCTATAAAGTTTGCTTTGCTTAATGTGGGATTTGCAGAGCAGGTCTGATTGATTGATTGGTAGTGTTGAATGCTGTACACAGCTCATAACTCCACTTCATGATTATGTCATTTATATGTTAGGTTGCATTATGTCATAATAGTGCTCATAATTATGCTTGCTTTTGCTTTTTCTCCCGAAAACACATTCTCTATCATCTTGGAGTGAAACATCCTTTAAAGTTCCTCCCAGTAGTGACTTTAAAAAAAAAAAAAAGGAACAAAAATGGAGAAGTCAGGCTCATCAGTGGTTACAAGTTGTAGCTGAAAATGCTATGAGGTAAACCTTATTCAAAGGTCAGATCATTTCTTGAGAGGTGAAATGTCCAGGTATTTTCATGTTCATTGTCTCTACAGGTTTCTTTAACAGCATCCACATCATGGGCAATGCTGCAAAATTTTGAAGTCTCTGTATCTCATATGTATTTGTTTTAGAAGAACATCACTGCAAAGGGAAGAAAAATGTGACACCTCCTATTCACCCAGCAAACTGTCTTTAAAAGAAATTTGCAATCCAAAGCGACATTGATATTGCACACAGTGAAAAGCAGAATGGTGTTGAATGCTCCCACTTTGCAATCAGCATCTCCAAATGTCCTTTATCTTTGTTCAGTGTATTTTAAGAAAAGATGCAGAGCATTAAACTGAGTTTACTGAGAAAGGGACAACATATGGCCCTCTCTGTGTGATACCTGCTCAGAGCAGCTCAAAGCTGCAGAGGAGAGGTGGCTTTAACTGATTTCTTTGCACATATGTGGGGAGCACAGCGGGTAATATAATTGGAAGGGACAAAAGGCATCTAGAGGCCTCTCTGTCTTGAGGGTAGTAAATACTGGAGATGCTGAGCCTCCCTTTGGGAAGCTGAGTAGGAATTACAGAAGTGGGTAGAAATCTTCATCCACTGACTATCATCTGGGCTTAAAATGATAACTGGAAGCTTGGTTCTGTTGCTTTTTAATTTTAGTTGCAGAAGGATATGCCCTATCCCAAGGCTCCATACTGTGCAAAGGAAAACCTACGGATCCCTGGTTTTCAGGACAGTTGGATCTTGGCTTACAAACAAACTGCCCTCCTGCTGCTTAGCAGTTAAAAGTCAGCATCAGACTAGCAGTAAAAACCTATACTCTCCAGTTCCTTTATATTTGCTCATTAGTTTCTAGATAATCTACACAGTTGCTTTTTTTCTTTTTAGCTTTTTATTCTGAAGGCTTAAAAATCATCACTGAGGACAATGTGCCTGTGGGAGTAATAAACCTACATACCCATGGAGTGTTTAAAGACAGTCTTTACTGAATATGTAAAGCTGCTGAATTGCTTTTGCACGTATGAACCTTGGAGAACATGGTACCTCACGTTCAGGATGTTCAGCTGTTTATGAAATTAAAAATTTGGGCTATAAAAGGACACTTCTAGGAAACCTGATCTATTTCATACTGCATGGAGTTTAAGTGCTGTTTTGTTTATCTGCTGGTAAAGTATGTGCAAGGGCCTTTTGCAGCAGTGGTCTCTCTGTAGTGGGCCAAAGGCTGGTCTATTCTGGGAGCCAGGTGCTCCCTCCTGCCATTTCCTTCAGGAACTGAATTTAGGCTTTCCTGAATCCAGAAGAGAAGTGATGTGTATCCCCTGGCCTTCTGTCACTCTAATGTCTCACCTTCCAAGCTTTCAGAAGGTCAAGGCTGACTGCAGAGGAGTTGTTTTCCACAAGAATATTTCCTGAAGTATTTGTGTTCATCTGATTTAAGGAAAATAAATCCAGTCAAGAAATGTGGCTTCTTCCCTTATGTTTTCACTTAGGGAATAAACAAAGGAGAAACAAAAAAGAATCTTATGCACTTGACGGTCCTGCCTCTGTTGGGATGACTATGGTATTAACTTACTGATATCCCTCCCATGTGACAAATGCTTCATGTGCAAATAAAGAATACAATGACCTTGATATGCCTGGGTACTAATAAAAGAAGATATTTGAATGTAAAATATTTATATTCATCAGGAAACTCTGGCACTGTTTATACAACTTATTTACTGAACTCGGATGGTTAGGAACTGCCTCTGGAGGTTAGAGGAAGAAAGGAGACAATTTGTGACAACTGCTTAAAGTAACATTTTGATAAGCATTATTTTAATTTATAAAATAAACCCACAAAGTCTCCTCTGAAATAGGACTTCATCTTTGACTTTTTTTAACCTGATAAAATCAAAGGAATTTCTTAATAAGGATATTCAAACTCCAGCTGATCTTATTCCCTCAATCTTTTAAAGCAAAGATCTTCCATTTGATAGGAGGACTTCGATAAAGTCACCAAAACATGATTACCATATTTTTAATTGAATTGAGCTGTTCTTTATTGGCAATTCACTCCGAGTTTTCTACATTCATTTTAGCAATCAGCACAGTGTTCATCTTCTTTGGCTTTTGCCATCACGCATGCTAACTCATAATAACTTTGGAGGATTATTTTTGTTTTATAATGCTTGAATACTTAACTGGAGTGAACGGGGCACTGAATACTGGAAAAAAGTGAGAGAAAAACTTGCCCACAGAAGGATAAAGCTGGCTGTAATATCAAAGTACAGAAGGCCTTGAGCAGAGAGACCCCGGAAGGGCCTTTTCAAGCACATTCTGTGCTTTGGCAGGGCCTGCTCCTGGTGCCAGCCTCCGAGGGAGGGAGCAGAGGGCTTGGGCAGTTCACCTCAGCCTTCTCCAAAACGCGAACGGGTGCCCAGCCTGTGGCTATACAGGTTCACAGCTGCAAGTGCAGAGGTTTCTGTGGTAAATAAGTTTGTTTTGCGATAAGTTTTTCCTCAGTTTCTTGTTTGTTTTTCTTTTAAATCTTTGGTTTGCTCCTGGTGTGAGCGGTTGGGCCATGCATTGGGGTGCCCCTGGTTTTAGGCCGAAGTCTAGTTCTGAGGCCCGCTGCCTCAGCATTGTCTCATCAGTTTAGCAGCCATTTTCTGTCACAACTTCACTTATTACAGTCAGGTTACCTTTGTAACTGCTCCCCTCACACTTTCCATTTGCATTCTTCGTGTTGTATGTGGAGTAACTTTTCCTGTGGGGTGAAGCTTGCAAATGTTCACCATCAACCAAAAAAATCTTGTCTATTCATCATCTATTTCTGAACAAAAAATTGTATCTCAAGAACAAGTAATATATCTCTCTTTTTTTGCATTCGGTATTTCTTCTGGATCTGAAATGGAAGTCAATACGTTATTTTTATTGCAATTGTGTCCAGGTACAACAGAAATGAAAGCCAGAGAAAACCCTCAAAGCTGCATGTACACTTACAGAGTACACAGAGCAACTAAAAAGAAAAGGGAAGAGGCAGAATCATCACCACTCACCTGCTGAGCTGTGATCAGAGCTGTCCCTTTAGGTAAGTACTGTCTGGTTGGCATATTCATTACAATCTTTTAATGTGATATTTGTTTGGCCTGACAAGAGAGGTTTCAAGTCAAGTGGTTACATTGGTGGTAGGAGGCAAGAGCCAGCCTGGATAACCTGTCCACCCAGGGCCTGAAAAATAAGCTCAAAAATGTGTGGTGCACCTTGGGTGGTGTGTGGAGCATTATGAAGCTGTGGGAACTGTGCTGGAGGTGCATGTGAGAACTTGGGTCCTCATAAATATATGGAAGGAGTAATCAAGGGAGTAAAGCACTAGTGGCTGCTTGGGTCCTGTGGGGCTTGCAACACTTGCAAATATAGTGACATCTGTATCTCCTAACAAAAAGAAAAAATGGTTGCTATCAGCTTATTGTTTATTGCCTGGTGATTGTCTGTATAGTTCGTGATCAAAAACTAAATTTCCAACATTGGTTGCTTTTATGACCTTGCCAGAAAGTATTTCTCACTTTAAATTCCAGCTGTGAGCTATATACATTGCAATAGTTTTGCAGAGCATCAAATTATTTTTGTAAACCATTGGTAAACAGACCTGAGTTCATTATTCTAAGTATCTAAGCAGGTATTTTATCCTGTTTAAATGGCTATTGAAACTACCTCTTTACGTCCTAATATTTACATACACGGTGCTGGCAATTGTTGTGAATTGAAAGACTTTTCTTCCTAAAAGGGCAATCAAGAAACGAAATTAGAAAAAGCTTGACACCATAATAAATCAGAGCAACAACAAAATTGTAAAAATCATTTGTAATGACATATTTTGCTGTACTTGTTTGCTAGATTAGATTTCCGCTAAAGGTAATTGAAAAAATTGTTCTGGTTAGAGGGATAAAATACATTAAAATTAAATGAGCTTCTTGAACTCTGCTTAGGCTTTAAGATATCATATCAAGGGAAGAAAAAAAAAATTAAACAAGCATAATAGATACTGTGTGTGGTTGACCATAAAGTACTGTACACTAGCCTTTCTGTTGTACGAGACACCAGAGCTCTCAGGTAATGGACACAAAAAATGGGCAAAATGAAAGCGTGGTGTCCATGGGCTTACTATGCTATACCTGAATTTCACACCTCCTGTGTTCTCTTGCACAAGCACTGTTTGCTACCTAGCTCACAGAATCACAGAACTGAAGGGGTTGGAAGGGACCTTGAAAGATCATCGGGTCCAACCCCCCTGACAAAGCAGGTTCCTTAGAGCAGGCTGCCCAGGTAAGCATCCAGATGGGTCTTGAATATCTCCAGAGGAGGAGAATCTACAGCCTCCCTGGGCAGCCTGTCCCAGTGCTCCGTCACCCTCACCATGAAGAAATTCTTTCCCATGTTAGTGTGGAATTGCCTGGGCTCTATCTTGTGGCCATTGCCCCTTGTCCTGTCCCCGCAAACCACTGAAAAGAGGTTGGCCAAATCCCTGTCTCCCACACCTCAGATATTTATACAGATTGATGAGATCCCCTCAGTCGTCTTTTCTCCAGGCTGAACAGCCCCAGGTCTCTCAGCCTTTCCTCATAGGGAAGATGCTCCAGGCCCTGTATCACCTTTGTGGGCCCCTGCTGGACTCTTTCCAGGAGATCCCTGTCTTTTTTGTACCAGGGAGCCCAGAACTGGACACAGTACTCCAGGTGAGGCCTGACCTGGGCAGAATAGATGGGGAGGATCACCCTCTATTTGAGGAGCAGTGACAAGTCAAAGGGTGTAGGGAAGAGCATCGCCCAATTTAATGAGCATACACGACTGGTCATGCTACTGCTCCAACGAAGGAAAGATCTTGGTGTCCTTGGGGAATAATTTCTCAGAAAACTGAGACAACTAAATGTGTTAGCAGTCTTAAAAGTATTGTCTCCTTGAGGAACTCCAAGTCTACAAAAATTCTACAAAACGCTTTCTCCACCTGTTTCAAACCACTGCCTTTAAAATTGTGTTGAATTTCTCATGGCTAAATGTGGAAGTAAATTTGTTTTGTAAACTTTTTAATTTGTTTTTATTTGTGATCTCCCATTATATATACTGTCTTAATTCTTTTTTAACCTTCCTTTCTGTCTACCTTTCTTTCTCCCCAGAAACACTGAGTCAGTCAGCATAATAAACTGCATTTTTGTTGTTTTTTTAAATACCTTACTTGTCATGGATGTCTGTTCTCTCTGCAACTGGTGTAGAGGAAGGAGCAATAAATCCTTAAGAGCATCCTGTAGAAAACACTTAAGATTCTTTTATTTACTAAATCAAAGCCAATGCATCTGAGGCTTACAGTGATGATAGCAAAAATTGCAAAGACCTTTCATATAATAAGAAACATTTTTGTCTGACTGAAGATTTGAAATGTATTATGCCAATCTTGTTTTCAAAGAACAGCTTCTTGGGGTTTGAATATTATGTCATTTTTCAGGAGGCTTTTTGTTTCTTGGCTATACTTTGTCATTTCCAGGAAGTTTGTATTATTAGTACTTAGGCTATTCTTTCACAGGACATTTCCTTTGAACCCTGTGCATGAGATGAATAAAGGAGCTGGCTTTGCTTTGTGAATCAGCCTGCCTAATAGGTCTTCTGGCTCTGAAAATATCACCAGAATTCAGAAAGCCAGCAGGCAGATCTTCAACAGTGGTTTAGCACTGGCTGCACAAAGCTTTGAATTTAGAAAGATCTTTCTTTTCTACTTTTATGCATCTTGAAGGGATGTGTTATCTTGTTGTCAAGGGATTTGGAAAGGGAGGGTGAAGCACTTATAAGAGGTAGAACCACAAAATTTTTGACTGAATGCCATATTTTTAATCAAAATTGCCAGCTCCTCAGAGTTCAAGGTTGCTCTCTTTTGTTATTGCTGATACTGGGACATGGCCTGTCTGTAGTGATCTATCAGCTGTTTAAGACTTGCAGAAAAATAATTGCTGTCAAGTTTCTGGGTTCCTGGACTGGTTCCCATTAATTGACTTGTGACAAATGTTTCTGGCTTTTCTTTGCCCTATCTCCTGCTGGTGCTGGGGTAGCTACCTGGCTGTGAGTTACATCAGGCAGCTCCTACAGCCTGGGGTGCAGTCTCAGCCCCCTTGACTTCAGTGGAGTTGGGATTTTTAATTTCTTCCTTCCTTTCCCCCCTTTTCTTAATAATAAACCAAACACCGTTTATTACTACTCTTGAAACTCACCTCTCCTACCAGCATGGCAACAGCAGTGTTAGTAGGGAACTGAGAAGTGTAAACTTTTAGTTTTGTTTTTGGCTGATGACTCCTACCTCATGGTGTCTAATACCCAATAAATTCTTGCAGCACAGTATGAAAAGGTGTAGTTATGGTCATGCCTTAAATGTCCAAAACAGCATGAGTTCAGACCCTTGCTCTTGCCTCCTGTTGCATCAGCATGCAGAGGGGTTTGGGAGGTTCATCTACTGCGAGGCCATGGATTCCGCTTTCTGCTGCCAAATCCAAGCACATATGGTCTGTGCAACGTGGAGACAAAGATGCCTACCAAAGGAGACCACAAAGTGAGTTACTGTTGCCAGGTACAGCTAGGTGTTTCTAACAAGTGCTGAATGCAGCTACTAATGCATACACTGTGTTAACGTGCATGTTAGTATCAAATGGGAAGCACAGGATAGAAGTCATTGATTTTGAAATAAAACTGATTCAGAAGGTTAGGGCCAGATACTGTCATGCCACTGCCATAAACAGCAGTTACCAAAATGGAAATCAAAGATTCTTCCTATGAGCTCTTGCCTTTACAAGTTACAGCTGTATTTTAAAATGAGGGCAACAGGGATCAGCTACCTATTTAGAACTGCTTGTGCCTTTTAACTATCACTATTTTTGTGCTAAATGAGAGAGAGAATTACGAGAGCCTGTGAAACAGTCTTTCTCTTGATGGCTTATTTGGGTATGTACAAATGAGAGGTAGCCTACAGTGCTCTAGCATCTCAAAACACTTTTCATAAACAATCCCAAAATTGTCCTGCAAAGCAATATCTATCTACCTTGCTGACAGATTCAGAACAAATTGTGCTATATGAAGTTCAGTTTTTAATAGACTAAAAAAAATGTGCACAGCTATGCAGATGTTTCAGCCATTTGGCTTACTGTAATCAAACATGGTGAAGAAGCTCTAAGTGCATTTCAAGTTTATAGCATGTCAGTTCAGCTGCCTTGGCTATTTTTTCTATAGCTAGTCTGTTGGAAAATGCATTCAGCAGAGCAAAATGGTGCTGCTGCTAATATTAATAATAATGCTTAGCACTTCAATTGCATTTCATATTTTCAAAGTGCTGTACAAATGCTAATTAATTTGGCTATGAAGCTGAATGACAAATACAGAAAAAGTGTTGTCATTGCTTGCAGAACAAGTTATCTTGATTATTGCACTTTTAATATTTTTCTTGGGAAACAGCTAGTAATCCAAGGAGCAATTCAACTGCACAGTATGCTGCAGAGGACTGGGGGGATAACTGTCACCAAAAAAAAAAATGGATGTGCCAATCCCAAGGCTGTGATAAGCGCTTGTGATTTTAATGTTTGCTACAAAAAGGATCTCTTATTCCATGGCTAGGTTTTTAGTTAGTGGTGGAAGTGGAACAAGTGTTCTCCTGTTCTGTGCTAAATCTGACTTTGTTTTTCTAATTCCACTGTCATACTTGGAAAAAGCCAGAAGTCAAATCCCTGCCCTTCTTCAGATGTGGTAGTCTGAAACCTGAAAGTTGTCCCTGTGGCTGGAAGCTGCTTCTTTGAGGTTAGCTGTGCTGCTGAAGACTGTGTGCAGGAGTTTGCTTTTTACTGGAAATGATCACTAAGTTTCAGAGAAAATCAAATGTGAGTTACAGTTAAATAAGACCTTGGGATGTGTACTGGTAGCATTAATTCTGTACCGAGTGGCACGGAGACATGAGTCATCCTGAAGTGGATGGCGCAAAGCCCTGGCTTGGGGTCTTCTCCCTTGTGAGCACTGTCACCCTCTGGTGCTCCCACAGCTCCTCCCATGGGGCTGGCCTGCAGC